TGGAATGTCCTCTTTTTCCCTGAAATCACTGAGCTGACTTGTTGGCGACAGCTTGGAGATGTGGTCACCACTGTCGCAGACACCACCCTGCCTGGAAGTGGAGAAAGACAGGTCCTTGTAGACATGTTGGCCTCTTGATCCAGCCATACCTGAGCCAATGCCCTTAGTCTTCTCAGTAACATTTAGCTAATTTATGTTCTTTTTAAATAATTCATCTTGACTGGATTTCTGTCATCTGCAACTATAGCAGTTCTGACTAAAACAAGATCTCACAGCCAGTTAGTGGCAGGATTTGGATCAAAGCCCAGGATCTTAACCACTCTATTAAACTGGCATCATCCCCTGTTCTAATCTTTATGCCAATTTCTAGCAGCAACCCACGCCCATCAATAATACCAACAGGTGGTATTTGCTCAGGGTTCGACAACCCAGAAACTGCTCTCACACACATCGTCACTTAAAAGGAAATTGAGATACACATCACATAGCACAAAATACACCCCTTAAAAAGTATATGATTCAGCGGGGTTTTAAGTATATGCAACCATGACCACTATGGAATTTCGAAACTTCATCTTCACCCCCAAGAGACACCTAGTACCCACGAGCAGTCTCTCTCACTTCCCCTGACCCCAGCTACTAGCAACAACTAATCTGTTTTTTATCTCTGTGGCTTTGCCTCTTCTGGTCAAATTATCACTTTTAACTCCATGGGAACCTATGAAGTAGCCACTAGAGGGAGGAGCTTTGGGCAGCGGAGTGGCCTAGGTCATAGAATCTGTGAAATGGCTTCAAATTAAAGTTTTGACACTTCCAAGCTGTGTAACTTTGGGTAAATGACTTCACTTTTCTGAGCCTGGGTTTCTACATCTGCATGATTTGATAAGCTTGATGAGGATTACATGAGTCACTCCAAAATGCTTAGCAGTCAGTGCTCCAGAAATGTCAGCTGTTCCTTGATCATCAGTTCATGGTACTGATGACGATGAGCAGGCACAGAGGGGTTAAGGCATGTGCCCAAGGCCACACAGCACAGATGGCTGGGCCCCAAGTCTCCTGACTGAGTCCTCTGCATTTTCCATTACGCCACACTGGCTGAGCTGTTTCTCCACGAAAGCTCGGCCCTCCCCATACTTTTTGAGCCAAGTTACTTCTGAAAACACACACACACACATATATACACACACACACAAAAAAAAAAAAAAACCCAAGGCTACTTGCCAGACAAGAGGGAGGGGAGGGTGGAACCATGAAATCATCTAACTTTAGGGTGTGCGGGCCCCACAGGGTTGGCCTCCTTGTTTGTTCCTTGGGAACAGCTGACTTTGGTGGGTGGGGGTCTAGCCCTAGTCTCTTCCAGCTTCCTCTGCTGAAGAATGGGGGTGGGGGTAGAGAAGGTTGTTTCCGGGATGAGAGGGACCCTCTGGAATTCCACGACTTTCCCACTCCAGCCGCCCATCTGGGACTCTTTAAAGTCGGCTGAAACCTTGCTTTCAGAAGATTCTGTTATGGACGGGCGTCTGAGGCAGCTATTTATGTTATAGCAAACTCCCAATTATTACCAATTATGCTGAGCAGGAGGAAAAGCTCACTTTTAAGTTATGTTAGAAACACGAAAGTTAAATCAGAACTGGAGGATGAAGGGAGTATGGGTTTTGTCCAGGGAATCTTGTGATCCAAATCTGGTACAAGCACTCCAGATGATGTCACCTTGGCAAGTCCCATCTGAGAGTGGGGGAGCAGGTGACAGCTAATGTGTTGACTGACTGAGACACGTCTCATTGACCAGTCACAAGAGAGACAAAGGAAAAGTGCTTTTCTTTTTCGTAAGTGCACAAGGAAACTCAGGCTCAGAAACAGAGGGAACAGCAAGCTGAGTCCTGAAAAGACCAAGCTGAGATTTGAACCCAAGCCAATTCAACCTCAGAAGCCAAGGTCTTCAACTCTGAGTTCTGCTGAGATAGGGGATGCCATAACCTGGTCAAGCTGCTCACACACTACCTGGTCTATGTGCTTCAGAATGACAGCAAGTGACCTTTCCTTATGAGCTTCTAGGGCATCTTCCCCACGCCCCTTCTCAAGGAACCTAGTCCTCCACATGCTGCTGGCCTCTGGCTAAGGCAGACAGATTCTGACCCAGGGTCCTTGGATGATTCTCTCTCCTGGAATCCGGAGTCGGTGCTCAACCTCCAGCTTGTTGACTATGGTGAAAGACACTTTACCTTTGAGGGCTGAAGGTGCTGCTGGGGATCCTTTGGGAGACAAGGATGAATGACAAGCTTTCTCCGGGGCTGGTCAGGAGAGACCGGCAGAAAAAAGAGCAAGCGAGACAGGAGAGCCATGGGCACCATATCATACGCCAAGGGAGCTGCCAAGTCCCTGGAGGGTCATTCTGTTGCTGGGTCCAGCCACTGTGAGGCTGCCTGCATTTCCCTCCTCTAGTCCATGGTGCACACCATAAATGCATCCCCATTCCTCTCTGCCAGCCTCAGCTAGTTTAGTGGGTGTTTGCTCCATGGATGGTACTATCCCCAGGAAGCAACCATGTCTGGTGCTGCTCTCTGCTCTCCTGTGGATGTGTCAGGCAGGCCAGAGGCCTCTGAAAGCAAAATGCAGGTAGTCTTCCCTACATAGACCCTAGACCCTTGGTGCTTGAAAAGTCAGTCTAGCAAGTTGCCAAATATTTGCAATGTTCATCCTCTGAACCGAAGTCCTGCCGTATGGATCTGTGTGAGTCGCCTGGGCATCTGGGTCTGTGGGTGAGGGTCTCGGGCATTCTCACACAGGGCTGTGCTCATGGCATTCAGAAGAGGTGGGCAGTATTACTGTCACCTCCCTTCTATCCCAGGCCTCAGCCTGCTCCTGGCCCTCCTGTTTGTTCCTGTGAAGTCTTTTCTGGATGGTATCTTAACTTCTTTAACATACAACCTCTTTGTGTACTTACTTTCAGGACATGTTTGCTGCACACCAGAAGAAAAATATAATGTTATGATATTGTTTGATTTTGTTGCATACTAAACACAAACCGCCCCTAAGGGGTTCAGTACATTTGAAAAATTAGGTAACTCATGTCAACTGCTTTCCATTAAGCAATGATTCCTGGAAGTTTGTTATGTAGGCGTTAGAGATTATTTTAGTGATACTGGGGAAATGGGTTAAGCTCAAATCATTACCTCCCCCTACCCTTAAAATAAAGGAATACAGGCTCTGCAAATCCTGTTTGGCATTTTTAGGAACTGGTTAGGTCTATGTAAATCAAGGATGTCTGTGGCTAAAATCAGCCAATCTTCAGAAAAATCTGTGAGGCCAACAGATGAATGGTGTGGGAGGATGGAATGGTGCTGGATGGTATGGGGGACCAGATGGTGTGGAGGGCAGGGCTATCATCTGTCCCAGCAACGCCTACCACTTTACATCTGTCATATCTGTCATAGCTGTTCTGACTGCAGGGGCAGAGCAGGGACCCAGATAAGCCCATCACATTCCACAATTCTATCGACTGGCGAGGGAGAAGTCTACGAAACACAACACTATGTTTGCTGGGACCTCTGGGAAGTGACAAGAAACTCTTGTTGAGAGTGAGCCCAGACAGGATCTGAGGATAAAGCCAACACCATGGGAACAGGAATGCAGAACGAAAAGCTAGGCAAGGTGACACTGTGAAAACTCTGGGTCAAGCTGTGCCTGAAGCCCACAAGGTTCCTTTTCCTAGAATATTCAGTTACACCAGCCTTTCCCAACACCCATACCCATTTACTTAAGTCAGTCTGAGTTGGTTTTCTATCACCTGTCACTGAAGTGTCCTAGCTGGTATGCAGAGGAAGGATGAAGCCTTGTATTGGCCTGAGAGGTGACATGAGTCCCTCACCACAAGGCAGGGAGGACTCACAGGTTCAGAAAACTCTCATCTCCTGTTGAGAGCCATGTTTTCTAAAGAGTTTGGTCACATCATGAGGCACTGTGCCTTCTCATATGGACATACTTGCTTTGAGTTGTTTGCTTTTGGTGACATTGAGATGAAGCTGACCCATCTTTTACCCTAGTGGACATGGGCTTACACCGGGCTGTGCCTTCTCCCTGGTACTCATGGTGATCATTCATTCATGCATTCATTCATCAAACATTGACTGGTCACATGCCATGTCCTTGAATAAAACATTAAGAGGAGAGAGGAAGACATGGTTCCTGCCCATGACAGTCACAATCTAGAGGGGGAAACAGACAGACAGACAATCTCAATACAGGGTCAGGACAGAGGGGTGAACTGAACTATAAGGGTACAGAAAAGGAGGCCCTAACTGTCTGGGGAAAGAGTCAGGCCAGGTTTCCCAGAGGATAAGCATTCTAAGGGGTAGAGGAGTTCCTACACCAACGAGTGTGTTAGGAGGGCACAGAGTGTGTTCCAGGTGAGTCACAGCAAAGGCCCTAGCAGGAGGCAGCGTGGGACGTTCAGGGCATGCCACGCACTTCAGGAGCCTGACAAGGAGAGGAGGCCAGGTGAGCAAGAGAGGTGAATGTGTCTGCAGAATAGCACATCCACTTGAGATCTGACCATACAAACTGAACTCACCAGCAAACACAATTATGGTTCACAACACAAGTTCAAATCTGTACTCCAAAGACAGAAACGATTTCCAGGTTACCCTCCAATCTGGAGCAGTCACAAGTAGCTTTTTTAAATTTGAAAAATCCCAAATACGGAAGCATAAAATCAACAAAGCACATTACATCTTTCCCCAAAGCAACAGACATATATATTTTTAAAATATGGAATGCTCCACAAATTTGCATGTCATCCATGTGCTCATCTTCTTTAACTTGTTCCAATTTTAGATTATGTGTTGCTCAAGTGAGCTCATGATGTCATTTTGAAGTCTAGGAAATAGAACACCAAGTGTCCACTGTGGGTGGGGTCTGGACTCTGAAGCAGGAATGGAGTGTAAGTCCAATTCACAGTCCTGCCTACCCTGCAGAGCTCACTGGAGACCCCAAGTCCTTACCTGGAGGTCAAAGAACTTGCTGTAGCGCCGGTAAATGGCCTCGGTGGCGCCGCTGGACCACGTGACTCGGATGATGTAGACCTGCAGGAGGGAAGAAGAAATGGGATTAACACCACGGGGGCCTTTCCAGGAGAGAGTGAGGATCCGATGAGGCTAAAGACGACAGCTACTTTATTAACCACAGGGCCACCTTTGTAACCTTTGTCACAAGTCACAGCCCACACAGAAAATAATACATTGATGACAACTGGGCAAACCTCAGTGGCAGCAGGAGGGCAGAGGCCCCTGGCAGGGGACTCAGGTGGTCCTGGACTTGACCAAAGGCTAAGGGATCAGCATACTTATAACCCATTCTTGGCTTGCACAGTTTATCTGTTGTTAGAGGGTAGTATGACAGTTAAAAAATATAGTTGACCTTTGGACAGCATAGGTTTGAGCTGTGGGATCCACTTCTATGCAGAGAGACACCACAGAGAGGAAAGAACAGAAGATGATGGAATGCAGATGGAAGGTGCCCTTGAACGCCAAGCTATGTAGTTAGAAATGGCATCTCCACATCCAAGGTGGGTTTTATGTCAAAGGAAAAAGGCAGAGAGGAAGGAAATTGGGTTCTAGTGCCAAGAAGCTCTAGACGTAAGCAATTTCTTACTTCTTGGGGCCTTGGTTTTCTTATCTGTAAAATGGGTCATCGAGCCTGCTGACCCCACTCCTTGTGGTAATTCACGAGGCTAAGTTCTGAGTTCCTTGCCTGGCTGGTTCAAGAAATCTTAGTGCCTTGTACTCTGATTCCTCCATGTGTATGCACCCCTCTCATAAGAACATGCTATTCTAACTCTGGGGATCTGGGCATCTGGGCCCACTCTTCTCCCTTGTCTACCTCTCAGAGCCAAGGCATCCTTTAGGACGGAGAATCAGCTATCATCCCAGAAAGATGATTTTTTCCAACAAAGAGCTGGGTTGCCAAAGTCACCCAAAGACTTATTGATTTTATTTTTTTTTAAAGATTTATTTATTTATTTGTACAAGCACTGGGTACAGTCAGAAGTGCGGGAGGGTGGGAATTCACCGGAGCCAGAGTGGGGAACAGAACAGGCAGACTGATGAAATACACTGCTGAGGAGAGCAGTGGGCACGGCAGGTGAGGTCTGTCACGCCATGTGAGACCCTCGCTGGAGGCCAGGGATGGAACTGGCGCTGCAGAGGCTGCAGGCAGCTTCCCAGCACTCAACAGCTGCGCCACCAGGGGAGGCCCAAGACTCATTGATTATATTTTGAAAAAACTTCAATTCTGCTTCATCAAGACTCTAGCATGTTCTATGTGATCAAGTTATCCCACTTCTGGGTATCCATTGGAAGAATACAAAAACACTAATTCCAAGAGATATCTGCACCCCCATGTTCACTGCAGCATTATTCACAACAGCTGTTGTTTCCAACAAGCACTGGAAACAACCTAAGTGCTCACCAATGCATGCATGAATGGAGAGAGGTGTCGTACAGATATACAAGGGGGCGGTACTGGTATAAAAAAAACAGATGAAATCCTAATATTTGCAACAACGTAGGGGGGACCTAGAGGTACTGTGCTATGTGAAATAAGTCAGGTGGAGAAAGACAAACACTGCATGTTTTCATTTAAATATGGTACATGAAGAAAGAAAACAATCAAACTAAATAAACCAAAAATAAGTGTTTAGATTATAAGACCAAATTAGTGGTCATCAGATGGGAAGGGGGCAGATGGGTAGGTAAGTTTGGTAAAAGCGATGAGCTATATGAAGGACAGAACTGAATCTTTAGGGGTAAACTTATAGTAGTATAGACAGATGTTGATTTATAATGATGCACAACTGACACTGTTATAATGCAATGTGGCTTCAATTAAAAAAAAAGATTCCAGAGTCTCCCTGGTGGTGCAAGGGGTTAAAACACAACCTATGAAGCCATCCGCAGCCACTGCAGCATGAGTTCGATCTCTGGCCAGGGAGCAACCTACATGGCGCAGCAGACCTCTCCTGACTTGCCCACTGCTCCTCTCAGCAGTGTATTTCAGTCAGTCTGCCTGTTCTGTTCCCCACTCTGTCTCCGGTGAATCCTCTCACCCCCCCACTCCTCTGGCCTGTACCACAGTTCCTGTATGCATAAATAAATACATCCTTTAAAAAAGAAAAGATTCCAAAGTGGAGATTTTGAATAGCTCCCATTCATTCATTCATTTAGTCTGTAGCACTTAGTAAGTACCTATGTGCCAGGCCCTCTGCCTGGTACTGGGGTACACTGGGGAGCAACACAGATGCAGACCCTCCATTTGGAGAGCAAGAAGACAGGCCACAAACCAGCAAATAGGTATATAATTATCAAATGACAGTGAGAGCTAATAGTCCCGAAGTCTGCTATGATAGTGCTTGCGGTGGGGAGCTGTTGGACACTTTACGGTGGCCTTGGAAGGGGAGGCATATCTGAGAAAGCAACTTTTGAACTGAGACCTAAAGACTGAAGAGTTGGCCATGAGAAGAGCTGAGGAAAGGGGCCCAGGCAGAGCGGAACAAGGAAGGGCAATGCTCACGTCTGAGGAACAGGAGAGCATTTTGACAGGACAGAGCTGGGGGAGGAGGGGATAAGGCCATGAGAGACCAGCAAATGCATGACAAAGGCCGCAGGCCACAAAGAGGAGTTATTCTACTCTATTACAGAGCTTTAAGGGCAATACGGCGTGCCATGTGCTCCAACCTATGATTTTAAAAATATCCACATGTATTCCTCTGGCTGTTGTGTAGAAGACAGTTTGAAGATGGACAGAACACCAGTAAGGGGCCTTTCTGTCACTGAAAGCATTAGACAACTCAGCCAATCCAATGGCCATACCTCCCAGATCTGTAAACCTTGACCCAGAACCTACCAGATTCCGGTCACCGAAGGAGGGGTGTTATATAAGCAAAGTTTGAATGACTATCTGTCAATGACAATGCCAAAATGGATGAAAACACAAGGGGGGGGGGAGAAGAAAAATCACCAAGATTTTATTTTATCCTAAAACCAACAAAAAGCATATTTCCATAAATGGAAACAAAATTCTGCTTACCCAATTCATTCTTGAGCTCTTGTTTATAGTTTTTAAAGTTCTGTATGTACGGTACAAAGGACTCCGTAGCCGGCCTAATTGGTTTATTGGAATCAACCTCTGAACACAATTTGATGTCTGCATTTTTAGGCACAGATTTAACTTTTTAATGAGAATTGTCCCAAGGCAGGGCTTTGGCATTGCCCAGGGTTTGGGGCTGGCGCACTGGGTTCTAATGCCAGCTCAGCTGCTGGGTGAGACTCATGAGGCACCAATCTCTCTGGCAGCGGTGCTTTCTCTCTAAAACAGGTGCATGCCCAATGCCTGGCACTCATGGGCAGGACAAAGTTTCACTTTCCTCTTAGAGTAGCTGTCCCCATAGTCCTGTCTGGTTCCACCTCCTTTCCCCTTATTTTGGTAGCAACACTCAATTCCCTTGGAAGATCATCCCACTTGCCCTTTGTGATAGGGAGTGGCACGTGTCCCATGCCTGGCTGACCAGCAAAGTGTCTGTCCCTGGACATAAGGAGGGGTCAGCAACAGGCACATGACCCCAAGCCAGGCCCATGAGACTCAATTCTGGGACTTCCACTGTGAAGGCTAGCAGGGAGAACTCTCCACCAAGCGTTATGATATGGTATGCCCTGTCCCACAAAGGCAAGCAGAGATAAGAGGGACAGAGGAGCTGAGTCCTGCGGCATCACTGCCACACCTGGACATTTCAGTGACACAAGCCCAAAGCTCCCCTTTGATGTTTAAGTTGGTGTGAGTTAGTTTTTGTGGCAAGCACATCAGACCATAAACATCATCAGACCTGGACTTTAGGTCACATCCCCCACTCACGTAATACCCAGTAGCTTGGCGTCAAGGAAGTCAAAACAGACTTCTTCACAGCAGCATTATTCACAAGAGCCAAGAAATGAAAATAGCCCTCATGTCCACAGATGGACAGAGGTCTAAGTGACATGTGGCATATCCATGCATGGAACATTATTCAGCCCATACAACAATTAATCTGGAGGACATGATACTAAGGGAAAGAAGCCGAACCAAGAGGACAAAATCTCTGTAATCCCACCTCTGTGACGTGCGTAGAGCAGTCAGAATCAGAGACAGAAAGAAGGATGTTAGTTGCCATGATCTGGGGGAAGGGTGAAATGGGGGCTTATTATTTAATGGGTACAGAATTTCAGTTTTAGAAGGTGAAAAGGGTCCCAGAGAGGAATGGTGGTGGTGGGCGCCCACAGACTGAGTGGGAAGCTGCTGAGGGGCACACTGCGAAATAGTCAAAATTTTATGTATATTTTACCCCAATTAAAAAAAATAAATTTGGGGAATGAAAATTTTTCCTGTAAAGATTTATATACTTCATGTCATGTTCCCTGGAAATGACACTCCCTCCATAGTACAGCCCTCAAACCATGTGCTACATGAGAAAAAAATTCTCAAACTCAACAGTAAGAAAATAAGCAACTCCAACACAAGAGGGACAAAAGACTTGCACAGACACCTCATCTGAGAGGACATACATGTGAGCAAACAAGTGAGGAGATATCCCAACAACTAGCCAATTAGGGAAAGGCAAATTAAAACCACCATGAGATAGGACCACACATCCATTAGAATGGTAAGATAAAACATGCTGACAATAACAAGTGCTGACAAAAATGTGGGGCCACCGACTGGTGGCAGCAAGATGGCAGGTCACTCTGGAAAGATCCTTGAAGTATGCTAGACTAGAGTGTAGAAGTTATAACTGAAACCAGGTGATCAAACTTAGTAACAGAGATAATTACTGCATGGCCCCGAAGTGAATTAATATGAGGCATATAAATTCTTTTATCAAATATCATCACCAAAATGTTTATTAACTTGAATCTCAAGTCTCTTACCTAAGTTCCAATTTATAGCAGGTAAGAAGAAGTAGGGGAATAAGCTAACTGATAGCATAAGGAAACAATCAGACAAATGTGGGTTCTTCTACAAGTCTAATAGGGCATAATTCAAATGCAGCTTCCTA